TCCAGTCGTCTTCCAGAAGGCCATCCCATTCATGTAGAGCCCGTGGCCCGAGAGTTCTTCGTTCATCGGGCATATGGCATCCGAGCACGTCCAAGAGCCCGTTTCGGACGAGTAGGTCTCGAAACAAATTACGGGCTGGCCCACGAGGGGCACTGCGCACACCAGCTGGTAGTAGGATTCGATGTTGGTGAGGGCAGGGTCGAATGCAAGGATGCAGGCCGAGTCAAGCCCGTGGTAGAGCCCGGGACTGGGGAGCTTCCGGAAGGTCCGGGTCGCAGGGTTGCAGACGTAGTATTGGTCGGGCTCAGAGTGGGTCCGGCAGACGAGGAGGCCATGGGTCGAGCCGGCCACGTAGGTGGAGACCGGAAGGAAGGAAAGGGAGGGGTCGGGGACACCGCAGGAGGCCTGGTCGAAGGTGAAGAAGTCGGGCTCATGAGAGTAGTTGGCCTGGCAGAAGAAGCCCAAGATGGATTTGTGGGTGTAGGACTGGCGGTGGGCCATGACCGGGCTCTTGATCCAGAAGTTCCAGCCCTTGGAGACGGACTTGAACCTCGTGAGGGCTTTAGCCGGGAGCCATGGGAGGATGTCTTCTTTCATGATGTCCTTGACTTCCATGGGTTGGGGGACCACTGTTTCTTCAAACTCCTGTTGCATAAGAGGGAAAAACAAACGAATGTGAGGGATTGATGATGATGTACTGGAATATATATTCGCCCATGGATTAACACGAAAAAAATACGGAAAATGCATCAGACTCCTCAAGGAAACCAATTCAATAAACATAATTGTTAAAGATGGACATGAGATTTCACAAGTATATGCAACTGTTGGAAGTAAAATGCTCAATGAATATGAAAGTTGCAGAGAAGATTTCTAATTACATAATACAATACATCGAAATTTGCCTTAAGAACAAAAACCCACATGACAAAATGTACTATCCAACATACTTGAACAAATAAGTTGCAGACAACATTAAAAAAATTTCAGGATGATCAACCATTTCAACAAACACTTGAACTTCTACCGTACAGCTTCATTTTTCATGCAAGAAAACCGAATAATGTTTACCTGGCCAGATTCGACATCGGAATCAGTTTCAAGGATATCATTTGGAGTTTCTGCAGATGGCTCCTCGGTCTTCGTTTCCTCATCACCTAATTCGACGAAGTACCATTCATCCTCGTCCAATATTTCCTTATCAGCTTCCTCGTAAAACCCTGCAATTTTCTTCCCAGTAGCCATTTTTCTTTTCTCCAATTTCGATTTTTTCTGAAGCAAATTTGATAAACCCCTGCAAAGAAAACCCATGCAAGCCGAAACAATAAAGATGCACGTTCAAGAAACAGAGAAGCAAACAAACGGATAAATAATCTCAAACACAGAACGACCGCAAAATTTTCGCCTTCAAGAATTTGATCGAAGATTCATACATACCAGTCGAACAGATTTAGAGTTAAAGAATTGATTTTTTACAGTAAATTTCTTAACAAACAGGAACTTCTTCGCGTCCGAAATTATGCGATAAGATCGACAAAAAAAATAAGAAATATTCGAAGCCCACAAACAAATTGATCACGATGAAAGTAAACGAGCAATTGAAAAAAAAAACAAAAAAAAAACAAGAATAATCAACCACAGATTGAAGACGAAGGCTGCGCGAGAACAGAATAAAAACCCCAGAATCGGAAGACGGGTTTTGTCAACTCTGCGAAGTCAAGCAAGTCAAAACGCTTTGGCAAATAGATGAGCAGAGCAATCGGAGAACGACAGATTTTACAAGCAACCGTCAAAGAATTTTCAAAATCAAGAAATTAAGTGGTAGTACAATTCTTAGAGCCTTTCACACGCTCGGATAATGAAATAAAAAAAGACTTTCTTATAGAGCCTTTCACACGCTCCTCTGATCAACCGAAATATGGTGCAGAGACGGCTAGTACAATTTTTCTAAACAACACTCTCGCTTTTGACCGGGTTCATTGTTACCCGGTCCAAATAACCTACCCGAATTAAATTCGGCTCTAGGTCAGCCGGGTCCCGGGTCGGCCGGGTCCCGAGTCGACCTGCTGGCCGGTCTTGGTTGAAAAGCAATGCAATCTAAATCTATATCTATATATATAAAAAAAAGTTGATGGAAAAATCAGAAATAGAAACTTTAAATAATTGTGTTGACTTTTTGACTTTCTATATGTAGAATATCATTAAAATTCTGAATTTTTTTCTTTTCATGGAATTAAAATCTTTTCAGTTCAATTTCTGTTAAAAGCTTGCTTATTTAACGGGAATAAAATCTGTTAAAGGTTCGCTTAATTAACGGCAATAAAATCGCACTTTCAATATAATCCGCCATCAATTAAAATTTGCCTCCATCAGCTTCAGAAAAAATCCCATATAATCCGCCGGTCTCTTCAATAAATTTCGCTTCAATTAGCTTGAGAAAAATTCCATATCATGAAAGAACTGAAACCCCATTTCGTCCAATCGCCTTCTCCTCCTACGATCTCGATTAGCTTGAGAGAAAATCTCACATAATTAAAGAACCCGAAACCTCAATTCATCTAAAATCCCTCTTCGTCTCCATCGAGATCATCGGCGGCAATCGTCACGAGCTCTCCATCAGCTTCGGAGTCGGGCTCGATTCTGGGCCGTTGCTTATGTTTAACTACATGCCGACGAACCCTGCCGCCCGTTCAACGTGTCCCTAAAGACCGGCACCGGGATATGCGGTTCTGTGACGGAGAATTCGGCTCTGTCGGTTGTG